AGTAGTGAGGCTGGGGGAGGATGTGATAAGGAGGATAACGGTGGGCCGGGAGAGGGATAATGGAAGGGGAGGCGAGTAATGGTGTGCTGGGATTGGGGAAAGCAGAAAGAGGGGTTAACGACCTCAGTTAACGAGGCTGGGAAAGGGTGAGGTGTGATGGGGTGAGGGGCTGGGCAGGGAGAGGCTGAGGTAGGAAGGGGGAAGAGGTAACAATGGGCCTAAGCAGGGGGATAATGGTATACGGGGGAGGCTGAGGTGGGGGTGTAGTGGTGGGTATGGGATAGTGTTGGGCTGGGGGAGGCTGAAGCTTGAAGCGGGGTAATGGTATCCAGTGGAGGCCATGGCCCATGGGGAGGTGGTTTGCAGGGAAAGTAGCCGCTTCCTGTTGGTCCCCCCTGCTTAGGTGGGACAACCACCCCCAGCCCAGTCCAGCTGTTAACCCCCAGCACCATACGTGTGCAACATCCCCTTTGCTGTTTCCCAGGATGGGAATCCATGGCCTGGCGAAGCTTATTGCCGACGTGGCTCCTGGCGCCATCCGGGAGAACGACATCAAGTCTTACTTCGGCCGAAAGGTCGCTATAGATGCCTCCATGAGCATCTACCAGTTCCTGATCGCGGTGCGGCAGGGAGCTGAAGTCCTTCAGAATGAGGAGGGTGAGACCACGAGTCACCTTATGGGCCTGTTCTACCGGACCGTCCGCATGGTGGAGAACGGCATCAAGCCGGTTTACGTCTTTGACGGCAAACCCCCCCAGCTGAAATCAGGAGAGCTGGCGAAGCGGACTGAGCGCCGAGCTGAGGCCGAGAAACATCTGCAGGAGGCTCAGGAAGCTGGAGAGGAAACCAACATTGAGAAGTACAGCAAGAGGCTGGTCAAGGTGACCAAGCAGCACACCGACGAGTGCAAGAAGTTACTGACGCTGATGGGCATCCCGTACGTGGAGGCACCAGGGGAGGCTGAAGCCAGCTGCGCTACCTTGGTGAAGGCTGGGAAGGTCTACGCAGCTGCCACGGAAGATATGGATTGCCTGACCTTCGGCAGTCCTGTCCTGATGCGGCATCTCACTGCCAGCGAGACGAAGAAGCTGCCCATCCAGGAGTTTCACCTGAATCGTATTCTGCAGGATCTAGACTTGACCTGGGAACAGTTTGTGGATCTGTGTATCCTCCTGGGCTGCGACTACTGCGAGAGCATCCGCGGCATCGGGCCCAAGCGCGCTATTGAGCTCATCAAGGAGCACAAAACCATTGAGAAGATCGTTCAGCAGATAGACACCAAGAAGTACCCTCTGCCTGAGAACTGGTTGCACAAAGAGGCCCAGAAGCTGTTTCTAGAGCCTGATGTGGTCAACCCCGATACCGTTGAGCTGAAGTGGACGGAGCCGAATGAAGACGAGCTCGTTCGGTTCATGTGCGGGGAGAAGCAGTTCAATGAAGAGCGAATCCGCAACGGGGTGAAGAGGCTGAGCAAAAGCCGTCAGGGCAGCACGCAGGGCCGGCTGGATGACTTCTTCAAGGTGACGGGCTCCATCACGTCAGCCAAGCGCAAAGAGCCGGAAACCAAGGGCTCAGCAAAGAAGAAAGCCAAGACCAACAATGCCACAGCTGCAAAGCCCAAAAAGGGCAAATAGCCAGAGTGGCTGACCACAAACCCCTGCACTGCTTTTTCGTTGTTGTTGTTCAACAAGGAATTTTAGGCTAATAACAAACAGTCATCTTTCTGTCCTGCGTTTTAGTGCTAGGAAGGATGCTGCTAGAGCGCTTCCTGACAGGGCTAGGTTAGTGAATTGGATGAGCACAGCAGCAGGAACGTGTGAGGCTGGGAAAGAAGAAAGCAGCAACAACCGCAGCGTGGAGGGATGAGGAGTCGGGGAGTTGCATTCAGCAGTTCAGGGGCAGCTTTTAATGCTTTGAGACTTTTGGTGAGGAGGCCACAGGGATTGGAGGTGGAGTTAAAGGGAGGTGCTGATCACAAATGCCCTCTCTGATTTAGGAAATAAAAAGTTGAACAGCCAGAGAGTGAGCTGGGTATAAATGGTGGAGAGATCTCTTTCTCACACAACCCATCCAAGAAGAGGAGAGGTAGGTGGCTGAAGGGGAAACTGAGGAGATGTGAATGGGAGGTGAGCTGGAGTTGGGAAAGAGACTTGAAATAATGAGGTAAACTTCTCCCTCTAATGAGCACTGGGTGCAGCTTCTTCCTCTCCTTATTGTAGTCACTTTGTTTAAAAAGAAAAGAAACAAAAAGTTGTGATCCCAATTCCAGCAAAAGTTTGGCCTTCTTTTAGTGCATCAGCTGAGCACAAGCTGAGCTGAGGCTGCAGCTCTTCAGGCCTGAATTTTCCTGCTCAGTTTTGTTTTATGTTTAAAAAGAAAAATGGCCGTAAACCTAGAACAGAAGCTCGTTCGCTCCATGGGGCATCCTTCCACGCTGCGTGCACACAGATTAAAGAAAAAAGATACTGCCTCTTTTTTTTCTTATTTTATTCTGTATTTTGTGTAGTATTTTGCTCTTACTTGTCAAAGCGATGTGCTGAGCTGTTTTCAGAATAAAATGGTATTTGCCTATAAATGTTTCTCATTCTCTGGAGGAGTGGCCTAAATCTTGTTGCTGAAGGCTGCACAGGTGAAGAAAAATCTCAGTTTTAGGGGGGAAAACCTATTAGGGACATCTAACAAATCAAGTATGGGCCCAAATACAAAAAAGAGGTTTTAATCCTGGTGTTAACAGCGTATTCTGTGGATGTTTTTAGCCATCAAGGATCTGTGGATTAACTCTGCCAAGCTGGGTTTATTTCACAGGGGGAATTCCATCAACATTCCTAAAACCATCCTGATTTTTAAGCCACCTTAGAAATTTTCTGAAATGTGGTCAGGAGAGCAGTGGGTGCTGAGCATGGGGGCAAGGAGCTGCTTGAGCTTGCCGGGTGGGAAGGGGCATCTGGAGCTGGGCACCCAAACTTTACACCCCTGATTCTCTTGTCTGGTGGTTTGCACAAAGTCTCAGCTTAACCTTAATTCCAAGCCCTAAACTAGAGAGATTTTGGGAAGAGGAAGCCTGGATGCTTCAAACAAGGGTGGCTGTACCCACTGTGCTTTGAGATCCACATCTGTGCTCTGCAAGTGTCAGTGCAGACAGCAGGATGTGGTGTTCCCCCGTTGCTTATCCCATCACCTTACTTTCAGATTCCTGCACCTGGAAAGTGTTGCAGGAAAACTCAGATTTTAAAATCAAGGTAAAGGTTGATGTTATATCACCCGTTCTGTTTATTTATATGTTTAATAAGGCTTCTATCTGTATTTGTGCTTTCTGCCCTAAACCTTTATCACCTCTTGTCACTAAGCCACAAGACTTTTTCCTTCAGCTGAACATCCTGCCCAGACAGTTTTCTAAACACCCCATCACTGCTTTGTCTTTTCAAATGGAAAGCAGAGCCCAGGCTAAGTTCAGTGCAGTTTTCCCAGGAGACTTCAAGGTACGGTGTTGCCAGGCAGGATCCTTTAAAGCCCAGCTCTGCTGGACTGTTTCAGTGTCTGCCACATCCCTCCCTTTCCTGCCTTCTCCCTCCACCCCTGTTACCATCCATCCAGATTTACCTGGACACCAGGGTGAGTCATCCCTGAGCTGTTACAATACACAGTAGGCTGTGCTGCTGGTATGTACAATATAGACAGTGTTTAGTAGGCTATGTTGTATGCTCTATGGTAGGATATAAAGCAGGCTGTACACTACTATGGTACAGCACAGACTGTCTACTATATGAGTTTCAAATGAGGAAGGTAATAAACACACTTCAAAAAAATGTATAAGAGGCTATCAGTGCAAACGGATTAAAATACATTTCCCCGTGGTGTTGCTGAGATCTGTTATCCTTGGCTGATACTCACCTGGTAGTCATAGCAGTTCAGACTTTTTATCTACTCAGATTTCACTGCTTAATTAATTTGTTTCATTTCAAAATACAGTAAAGATAAAAAAAACTGAGATGGATGTTTTCTTGATGTGTATTCTTTGAAATGTTTCAATCCGTAATTAGTCCAAAGAGGAGCTTCTTAATTAAATATCCCTGTTTTATCTGTGAATAGATTCATGGTGACCACATGGAGACGTACGGCGAAATGGTCTTGCGGTGAGGGAGTGAAAGATGATAAAAATATTTGGAAGGAAGAGTCAGGAAAATGCTTAGAGCAAGGAAGTAAACTAAGTCAGCAGAGGGGAAATGAAACCACAAACCTGTCTCCAACCTGGCCCTGGTCTCCCTAACTGGCTGTAGAATTCTTCGTCCTGCCCACTGACCTGAGTAGGGTTTGCTTCATCACATTTTTATGTACCACGTTATTATGATGCCAAGAACAGCGCAAGGAACGAGATAGGAACGATGAAACATTTCTCAGAACGTTTAACTGCCTTTCCCCCTACCTTTAATTCACTTAAAGGGACAACGTTGAAGTTGGCCACCTACCGTTTTGTCGAGGGATGCACACAAAGAAAGGAACCTTTAAATGAATGTAACTTCTCTAACGAGCCTCAAGTAAAATCACAAGCGTGAGTACAAGAACACACTTTGGTGTTTGTACACCGGGCTTGTGCTGTTACACACACATTGTGCTTTGTACCTTTGGGCTGGAAGTGCCTCTGCTCTGCTCTGCTTCTGCGGCTTTCCTCGGTGCATTTTGTGTAGGGTGTAGCTGCCTTGGTGATCTCCAGGCACAGAAGTCATCAACTGGAGAAATCAGGTTTTGCTAAGTCTGAGCCATAAAACCTTACAGGTGCAGGGAGAGAAAGCGATTTGTGTGCACATCTGACTTCAGTTACTGCACTTGCGCTTTCAGCTACCTTAAATTGTATCACTTAAGTGCTAAACTTGCACAGTCCAAACAGGAGAATAAATTCCAAAGCCTTAAACCCCATTTAAGGTTATTTACCACACCCCTATGGCTTCTTTCCCATGTGTGGCTCAGCACAGAAGAAAATTCCCCTCATCCACATCAGCACTGAGCAAAGAAAAGTCCATGAGCCTTGTGCTGTTAGCTAACAGCTGTTAGGGGGGGACAGCACTCAAATCCAAACTTCTCCATGCTCTTTGAGAGTTCCTAATGATCCCCTCTGTGGCTGGCATGAAGCTTTTCACTCAGCTAAGGTTTACTTCAGGGATTTTACCAATGAGGGCCGAAGAAATAAACAATCCCAGACGCTGTCCCCCTGCACAAGCCCTTCAGGACAGCACCATCACCCTCTCTGGTCAAAAGGCTGCTGATGGAGCTGCCGCCGTACTTGGTGTCGCTTCTCAGTGTCACATCTGCAAATCGCCTGTTTAAACTCAACCCAAAACATGATTCTGTGTTTCCCTCCTGTAGCAGCAGAGTAACTGAAGAATGGAGGAAAACAGATCACGTTTCTTCTGTCTGCTGTAGGGCACTGTCTGCATATTGTGTGTAAATCACAGAAATACTCATCCGGATGCTGGGTAAGAATGTGGTATTGCACAGGAAAGCAGGCTCCAAATGTAGAGTAAGTTTAAACCCCACAGCATTCAAGCTTGCTCATGGATTTGAGGCAAAAGCTCGTTAGCAGAATATACCCGAACTCTGTATTATTTTCCATATGTCTGAATTTCTAGGCATTATCTTCAGGTTTCTAAGTATGTGTCACCATCTTACTGTGACGAAACCTCTGAGAAAACATTCGAAAAGCTGCTCTTCTGCCCTGAACATACATAAACTGATCAGGGAAGACAGGTGTGGTTGTAGGGCAGAGAGGTTCTCCTTCCCCTCTACTCTGCCCTGGTGAGACCACATCTGCAATATTGTGTTCAGTTCTGGGCCCCTCAGTTCAAGAAGGACAGGGAATTGTTTGAAAGAGTCCAGCAGGACCACAAAGATGATGGAGGGAGTGGAGCATCTCCCTTATGAGGGGCGGCTGAGGGAGCTGGGGCTCTTTAGCTTGGAGCAGAGGAGACTGAGGGGAGACCTCATTAATGTTTATAAATTTGTAAAGGGCGAGTGTCAGGAGGAAGGAGCCAGGCTCTGCTCTGTGATGTCCAATGACAGGACAAGGGGCAAAGGGTGCAAGCTGGAGCATAGGAGGTTCAATCTGAACATGGGGAAAAACTTTTTTACTGTAAGGGTTACAGAGCACCCTACAGGGTGGGTCTGTTGTGGGTTTTTATATATCAGGGTGTTCGAGTGTTGTCAGAAAAATGTTCATTTAGTGGAAGGGAAAAGCAGCTGCAGCCGAAACCTAGAAATATCCTAGGGGCTATTTCTGGTATGCTGGAACCTCACAAGTATTTGTGAAGTGCAAACTCTGCCCATTACAGGGCTATAAGTAGGAATCTGATTTCATACCAGAAAAGTGGAGCACAGAGATATATCCCAAGTGTGGGACAGCCACCCTGACAGTAACCGCTCCAACCAAGAGTGGGGATGAAATGACACCTTCACCGATGCCTGGTATGGGAGTAAAGCTGCCAGGCATCGCCCACAGCGTCCCTCCCCACGCCAGCACACGCTGTGAGAGGGATGGCAGTGTGCTCCAATGTGGGGGTTCCCAATCCTGTCTTTACGAAATGTATCTCAAGTGCCTTTGAAAATCAGGAGGAGAGCTGCAGGGATGAGCCACGTGGAAGAGATTTTACCAACCTGGTGGCACCCAAGTTAGCTTTGTGCCGCTCAGATAGAGCTCCTCTTTCCC